GGCTTATATTCCGGAGTGCAGTCACGAGGACAGCTGCAATTTACAAAGAATACATTCAGATTTCCTGGACTTACAAAATTGATCCTTCGGATGTTACATTGTACTCCCCAATTCTCAGGTATGGCGGTTACAAGTTTTCAAATCAATCGCAATGTTCGTACTATTCCACATCGAGATTCTAACAACTATGGCCCAAGCATTGGATGGGCCATTGGAGACTGGACAGGTGGAGAATTATTCGTAATGGACGAACGAGGTCGCACTACATATATTGTTGAAGATTCCAATTGCTCCGTTGCGTCCTGTGGCGATCAGATACAAGGAGGCTTCTGGATGTTAGACAACCTTGTTGCTTTGATGGGAATGTGGTTCACGCTACTATGCCCTTTGCCGGAAACCGCATTATGATGGTCTTCTTCTGTCTCAAACAGCATGTTCCCGTTTCACCTCAGGCGTCATGTCTCTCCTTCGCTCGTTTTCTTGGTCTTCGTGTCCCTGTTCTTTCCTCCCCTCCTTTGTCTTCTTCTTCTTGTCTCTCTCTCTCTCTCTCTCTCTCTCTCTCTCTCTGTCTCTCTCTCTCTCTCTCCTCCCCTCTCCTGTCCTTGTCTGTGTCGCCTTTCTTTGCGTCGTGTTCTTCCCCGTCTCTTGCTGCCTCTTCTTCTTCTTCTTTGCGCGCTTCTCCTCGTCCGTCCGCTCGTCCCCCGTTGTCTCCCCCTCTTTCTCCCGCTTCCTCTGTTGCCTCCCTTGCCTCTTCGTCCCCCTCCTTTTGTTTCTTCCCTGCTTCTCCCTTTCCTTCTTGTTCTTCCTTTTCCTGTCCCTGGTCTCGTTCCTCCTCCCCTTTGTCCTCTCGTTCTTTTGTTTGGTCTTCCTCTGATCTTGCCGTCGACGCTGCGGATGACGCCTTTTCGAGCGACATGTCCTGGGAGGCGTAAAAAGACCCCTTTCGATCGTGCTTAACGTGCTTGCACAGGTTGTCATGAGCTGCATTTTCAGACTGTTCTGATGCTTGTGCTCGCAAGGGTATTGGTAAACATTAACTGCAGCATGCCATGCGGCCTGTTCATCGATGTTTGGAAGGAGGACGTACTTCGCCACTGCATTCTCTCCTTTCTTATGGTGTGCAGCAGCGTGCAGGTAAGTACGCAGCGATGTGACAATCCCAGTTATTGTCGGACTCATCAGTTCGTTCAGTGGCAACGATGGCTTACACACGGAATGGGGCGATGCTTTCGGGCCCACAATTTTCATGGACTGTCCAATGATGCTGCTACATTCAGCTTCACACATCTGCTTCCAAGATGCAGTGATTCTGTCTTGCGGATCTCTGTGCAGTGTCGTGCTCAGGCCTTACGACATATCAAATTCCTGATGAGACTGCGAATTTGTCAAGATTCTCGACTGACGCCATTCTGTACATGTAAGTTTATGGGCATTGAGACCTGTTGGTGCCAGCTTCATCAAGTAACTTTTTCGGCCTGTGAGTTCCCTGATGTAAAGGTCAGAGTTGTATAGTCCACTTTGAGTTCGGAAAGAAGAGGCCAGATGCAGACAGAGTGTTGTCATGTGCATGCATGAAGTTGCAAGAGTGCTTTTTATGGCAGATGTTGGTCCAAGCTAGAGCGTTTGATCAAGAGATTGCCAATGTCTGGATCGTTGCTGCACTGCGCTGACATAATCAGAAGTCTGGACGGAGAACAAGTCAAGGCTCTTTTTCAGATTCTGGGGGATCAGCGGCAAACAGAAGTGCTTCTTTCACATCTTCGACGTCGGATTCAAGCAGATGCGGATACCGTTGTTGCGAGACATCATGGTACGATTCCTCCTTCTGCTCCTCTGTCTTCTTCTCTGCCTTCCTTCTCTTCTCTTCCTGCTTCTCCCCCTCCTCCTCCTCCTCCTCCTCCTCCTCCTCCCTCCTTTCCCCCTCTTCCTCCTGTTTCCCTTCCTGCCCCTGTTCGTTTCCCGTTTTCTCCTTCTTTTTCTTCCTCTGATGTCTCTCATGCATTTGATCGCAATGAAGCTGCACAGACAATGAATGATGGATCCAACATTTCACGAACGGATCCTCACCGACGTGATGCATTACCTCGAAGACGTCAACAGAGTGCCAATGCTGCCCGACGAAGCAGATCCTTGAGTGACTCGCAAGTCCGTATGAGATCCCGTTCACGATCTCGATCAAGATCAAGTACATCTGTTTCACCTGGAGGATCACGTCACATTAGGTAAGACTGCTGTTTTTGTGTGCTAAAATAGTTGCCGCGCTCTCTTCTGAATTCACCTACGGTTGCTCGATTCGGTTGTTTGTTCTGTCAGCATGAGAATGCGAAGTATCTTGTGGCTCAATTTACAAGATGAAACGGACGGCAAGTATGGCGGCCCTTCCCGCTCCTCCTGCGATGATCCGGATTCCAATAGCTGTACCTTCAGATATATGTACTGGAGGACGTGAGTTGAGCTTTTGGATTATGATGCCAGCCGATTCCACTATTGATGACTTGAAGAAGAAGGTGTGTCGGGAACTTGAGGAACGCACGGGGAAGCCTCCTCGTATGAACGCTTTCCAATTATGGCAGTACGGATACCATTTGCCGTTTACTTCATCGATCTCCCGAGTGTCGGCTTTTCCATTTGCTGCCCAGCCAGTCCGATTCGTACGCACATGGCCACACGAACCAGTGAGTTGGACTTGAGATGTTCATGCGCCAATGGAACAAATGCAGTGTCTTGCCATGTGATCTGAAGGGCGCATTGTGAGTGCTTTGCCCATAAATTGCAGCAGGATGTGAGCTCGAGCCTTCTTGTAGTTTTAGGTTTGTGTAGTGGTAAGACCTGTGGTGCCATGTGGGAGCTCTCCATTCTGAATGAAAAAATGCTGCAATTTGTCAGCACAAGACGTCATCTCATCTTCTTCTTCACCTTTCCCTCATTAGACCCGCTTGAGCCTTTGGATGTTACTCTTCGAAGACACGGATTCTATGCCATGCAGGATCTTGAACAATTCGTTACCCAATGCAGAACAGAAGGTCTGGATCTTCGCGCCGAAGTGTGGGAGTTTTTCATTCAAGGACCAAGTGTATATACACCAATCACTTGTGAAGCTCCAGCGCTACCTCATGTCGTGGTGTATGCGTCCGTATGCAGAGAATGGTATTATTCAGTTACTCGATTGATTGGCAACCGTACCTTTATCAATGTTCAACAGCTCTGGCGTCTCGCCCAATTACGTCATGCAACGGTGGAGTGGATTCACCATCCAAATGAAGACAGATTACGTATTGGGTCAGCTTTCATTGACGATCTCAATGTGTGTCGCATTGTTCACCCATTGTAAAGTAAAGGTGTGAGTGGGACTTGACACGTCAATGCAACAAGAGAATAAATGCTGCGCTTTGACATGCGATCTTGGGAACGTCTTGCGAGTGCTATGATCACAGATTGTTGCAGGAAGTGACGAGTCGAGACTGCACTTTTTGCTCCTTGGGGGCCTGTTTGTGTTATCCTGCTGTACATGCGATGACGTGCATTCATGAAGGTTTTTCATGCATCCTTTGTTTTTCGTATTTTCGCTTTCTCCTTTTTGCTTGATGCAGGGGGCGCGAGGTCCTATCACAAAGCTCGCGCCAACGAAGCTCTTTGTCATATGGACAGGTAAACGTACCTGCGACCAGTTCCTGGGTGCAAGAGCGCAGCTGGATTGGTCACAATTGAAACCATCATGATGATTTTCTCAGTTTGTTCGAAACAGTTTATTTTCTTTGGAAACTCTGGCAGTTGTGCAATGTACATGTCTTTCGCTTGGCTTGAAATATGTACGTCACCAATGGAAGGCAGGCGGATCAGTGGAAGCCTTTCCAGTTGTGTCTGTCTGTGTCTGTCTGTGTCTGTCTGTGTGTCTGTCTGTGTCTCTGTCTGTGTCTCTGTCTGTGTCTGCCTGTGTCTGCCAGTGTCTGCCATTGTCTGTCAGTCCGTCAGTCTGTGTGTCTGTGTCTGTCTGTGTCTGTCTGTGTCTGTCTCTGTCTGTCTCTGTCCGTCTCTGTCCGTCTCTGTCCGTCTCTGTCCGTCTCTGTCCGTCTCTGTCCGTCTCTGTCCGTCTCTGTCCGTCTCTGTCTGTCTCTGTCTGTGTCTGCCTGTCTCTGTCTCTGTCTCTGTCTCTGTCTCTGTCTCTGTCTCTGTCTCTGTCTCTGTCTCTGTCTGTCTGTGCCTGTGCCTGTGCCTGTGCCTGTGCCTGTGCCTGTGCCTGTGCCTGTGCCTGTGCCTGTGCCTGTGCCTGTGCCTGTGCCTGTGCCTGTGCCTGTGCCTGTGCCTGTGCCTGTGCCTGTGCCTGTCTGTGCCTGTGCCTGTGCCTGTGCCTGTGCCTGTCTGTGCCTGCCGTCTGTCTGTGTCTGTCTGTGTCTGTCAGTCTGTCTGTCTGTCAGTCTGTCAGTCTGTCAGTCTGTCAGTCAGTCAGTCTGTCAGTCTGTCTGTCTGTCTGTCTGTCTGTCTGTTACAGTTGTGGGGTTCGGCGCAGGAGGTTCCACCGCCGAAGTACAGGGTATCTGGTTCCTGCGACGCTGAGACGTGGTGTGGCGCGTCTTGTGGGGGCCGCGATATACTGGGTGCGGCGTGGGAGGTTCCACACCGGTGGGGGCCGCGATACGGGGTGCGGCACCGCTGCGGGGTGTGGTGCGAAGCCGATACGGGGTGCGGCGTGTGAGGTTGTTTTGGGGGGAGGCGACAATACAGGGTGCAGTGCGGGAGGTTGCACCGGTGGGGGTCGCGATGCGGGGTGCCGCGCAGGAGGTTCCACCGGTGCGCGTCGCGGGAGGTTTTGTGGTTCCGGGTCGCGATACCGGGTGAGGCGTTGGAGGTTCCGGCGGCCGCGATACGGGTGTTCCGTGGGCGGCACGGGGTGTGGGCGTTCTACAGGTGGGGGTCAAAAATGCTCGTGTCACTGCTAGAGTCTAGAGATTTGCTTCGTGGATGGTTTTTGGGTTCCTTGTTTTCGGAAGGCCATCGGCCACATGCTGATGTACTTCCTTCGAGGTCCATTCCTCGGAGTCTTGTTCGCTTCGCCTTCATCTGCCGTTGAGACAGGATCCCTCCCGTGGTCCGGCCTGGATGCCAAAACGCAAGAGGAAAAGTACAGGCCGGGCGAAGCCGCGAAGCTTGGGAACAGAAGCTCCTTTCTCCTGACCGCTAGCCGGTAGCGCCAGCGGCCTCAGCCGCCTTTCTTTTCTGGTGGCAGGAAGATCCGTGAGAAGAAGGAGCAAACTCCACTGGACGAGCTCTGTGCAGGCCTGGGGCCTGGAGACGACGCAAAAGGTGTCGGGCCTCTGTGCAAGCGAGGCTTCCCGCCGGCCTTCAAGATCTACTTGCAAACAGCCCGCTCTTTGGAGTTCAAGGAAACGCTCCAATGCTGCAGGCTGCGACCATCTCTTGACTCTGCGCAGGAGCGGCCCGACTACGTCGCCTTACGGAAGCTCTTTGCAGATGTCCGTGCCGAGATTGGGCCCCAGGAGGACATACCCACAGCGGGTTGCTACGCCAAGCCCTGTCCAAGCCGCGCTGTTCCACATTGGAATCCGAATCATCTGAGGTGCTTTTTGTTCTTATTTTTGTCTTATGTTTTTGTGTTTTTTGCTTTCCTCTGCTGGTCCGCTTTCCTCTGCTTTTGTGCTTCTCTGTTGTTCTCCTCTGCTTTTCCGCTTCTCTTGCTTCTATGCTTTTCTGCTTCTCTGCTGCTGCTTCTCTGATTGTCTGCTTCGCTTTTCTCTTTGTTCAAGTTGTTGCTTGCAGCTCTTCACTGCCTTTTGTGTTCTTTGATTTGTGTGTTTTTTCTTTCCTCTGCTTTTGCTTTCCTCTGCTTTTCTGCTTCTCTGCTTTTCTGGTTATCTGCTTGTCCGCTTCTCTTGCTTTTCCGCTTTCCTGCTTCTCTGCTGCTGCTTCTCTGATTGTCTGCTCGCTTTGCTCTTTTCTTGAACTTTTGCTTGCAGCGCTTCCCTGCTTTAGTATTTTTTGTTGTGTGTTTTGATTTTTTGTGCTTTTGCTTTCCTCTGCGTTTGCTTTCCTCTTCTTTTCTGCTTCTCTGCCTTTCCGCTTCTCTTGCTTGTCTGCTTTTCTGCTTCTCTGATTGTCTGCTTTGCTTTCCTGTTTTTAGTTTTCGCTTGCTGCTCTTCCCTGCTTTGATTTCTTGTTGTTTTTTCTTGCTGATTGCTTTCCTCTGCCTTTGCTTTCCTCTTGCTTTTCAGCTTTGGTGCTTCTCTGCTTCTACACTGCTCTGCTTTAGCGCTTTGGTTTCATACGATTACTATTAATTCCCATTGCTATCACTATCACTAAAAGAATACAAATATCTTCTCCAACGCGCAAAAGGAAATCCCTTGCGAGATCGTTCGAAGCCCTCTTCCAAAAGGGGCCCCCCTCGTTGCAAATGCGGGGGGCTGCGCCCCCCTCAACCTCCGCGCTCTCTTAAGCCGTGAAGAAATGAATAAACACGTCTTCTCCAACACACACGAAGGAGAAAGCCACACGAAAACGATTCAGGGGCGTAAAAGCCAAGAAAAGAGAAGCATTATGAATGAATCGTCTTCGCGGACAGACAAGAAGGCGAAAGCCAGACGTATTCACTGGGGAGTGACTAAGCAAGAAAACAAAGTAACGTGAACGACAGTCTCCTTTGTAAACCGAAGAAGTGAGAGAAAGCGTCTTCTCCAACACACAAGATGGAGGTGCCACACGAACTCGCTTTAGGAAGGTAAAAGCGAAGAACACGAAGTCAATTTTGGAAGGTTTGCAAATGGCCGGGGGGGGGGGGGCAACCCCCCCGGCTTTTTGACAACTGCGAACTTTGCTGCTTTCTCCCTCCCCCTTACCCCCAGCTTTTCTGAACTGCAGACCCTGCTGCTTTCTTTGAGCTCTACTACAACTAGGGTAGTAACAAAAGCAACAACAACAAGCAAACAAGCAGTGACACAACACCAGAAAAGCAGCAACAATGAAAACAACAACAACAACAACGACAATAGTAACAATCAGAACAACAAGAACAAAAAATAAGAAAAAAGAGAAGAAGAAGCAGAATTAGAAGAATAAGAGCAATAAGAATAATACGAATAGTAATACGAATAGGAAGAAGCAGGATTAGAAGAATAAGAACAACAACATCGGCTTAATAATGACGAGAACAGCATCAACAACCACAACGATAACAACAGCAACAGCAACAGCAATAATAGTAGTAGAAATAATAATAACAGAAATGAATAAATGGTACAATAAAAAGACAATGGTACTTAGACATAAGATATAATACTAAGGCTAACAACAACCACAAGAACAAGAATAACAAGAACAATAACAGTAACAACGACAACAACAACAACTGAACAAATCCAAGGTGTTCGAAGTATGCACCAACAGAGCTCAACCCTGAAGTCAGCACAGCTCTCTCTGAAGTCCTCTTTGTCCTTGCTTGCTTGAGCCACACACGAAGTGTGGAAGTCGAAGCAAGCAGGGAAGTGACTGTACCGGGAGGTGTGCCAACAGTCTTATATCTTGACGACAACAACAATAGCAACAGCAACAACAACAGCAGCAGCAACAACAACAACCACAACCAAGGTAACATCGGGTTTCTCAGGACAGCAACATCAATCAAGGTAACTTAGGTTCTTGTTGGAAAACGTTGGAAATGGCACGAAATCCGTCCATCAGGTAAGGAAAACTTGGAAAACCCAGGTAACGTACGTGTTCCTGAGGAAAAATCTGTGGGGGAATGGCACCAAATCCGTCAAGAATGTGAGGGAATGGTGTTTTGTTGGTTTCCTCCACCCCCGTCCCTCCCACCCGGCCTCCTTCCCTCCCGCCCGTCCCCTCGGACCAAGCAAACGCACAAAAACAAAAACAAACCAAGAAAAGCAAACAAATCATCGGAAATTTGCACATTTGTCCTTGGTAGTTTTTTTGAGTTTTCCTACTAGTCAGCAGTCATGATGAACACCCTGCAAATCAAGCAAAGGGGAAACCATCTGTCAAAAACTAGACATGACAACACAAGCTCTAGAGTAGAGGTGTATGGTCCGCTGAACTTGGTGCAGCCCACGCTCACGGGTGTGTGTCTGTGTGCTTTGCATGATGGCTGATGGCACGGACTCGAGCAGTTGGTTGTGCTCCGCTGCGAGCCCTGATCTCCAGGACCATGGCTTCCAGTTTCTCGAAGGGCGAGAGTTAGGCGCACAATTCGAGTCCAGTCACAAGTCTGCAGCGATGCATGAACCTTTCTCCAGGTACCCTCGAGCCCCTTGAGCAAGTGGAGTTGCGGCAGCCTGACGATCAGGCCAGGCCTACTAAGATGAGGCCTGTAACGAAACCGAATCAGCTGAAGTCACGGGAGGCTCCCACTGGTGGTTTCTCCTTTTGCTTCTGCGGCAGCAAGTGGGGGGGCCCAGAAATGTGTCGGCACGGGAAGGCGTAAAGTGAAAGTGGTGTGCCGCCTGCCGCCTCGAGGTCAGCGGTGCGGGATTAGGCGGGCGGCGGGCGGGCGCCTTTTTCTCGGCCCTTGGAAACTCCGTCCGAGCTGGAGGCCTAGAAGCCGCCGAAGCGCGGCTTTGATGCTTTGTGCAGCCAAACGGCACTCTGGCGTTTAAACGCTGCAGAGAAGACAATTGGGGCAAAGGTCCTGTACTTCAGCTGGCAGGATTTGTTTGGGCCCTAGCCCTAGCGCTAGCCCGCTGAAAGCCCCTGCCGGACCCTGGCGTGTGCATCATAGACGTTAGAAATCCTGCGCCAGCACGTCTCACCGTGAACTGAGAGTAAGGGACCGAGGTATAGGATAGCCAGCGTGAACCACATTGTGGAAAATCCTTCGGACACTTTGTCGGAACGGGCCATCTTTCTGGAGACATGCTGCTTTGCCCGCGGCGCTTGCTCAGACCCGTGTCGGCCCAAGAGCAAGTTCGGACAGTGATGACTTTAGGAAACTAGTCTAGTCATGAACGGTCACGGTGTGGTCTTGGAGATTCGTTTCAAAGTGACGTCATAAGAGCGCACTGTGTGGAGATTTCGGAGATGCCGGGATCGGAGGCACGGGCAATCAAGCGCTGGTCGCAGCTGTGTTCCTGTTTGTGAAGAAGGAGTCGCCCCCCACTCCGCCTCCGCACCGCACGGCACTCTCGCCGCTGCTCGCCGCGGCCCGGCCAGTCGCCGAGTGAGTGTCATGCTCAGCTCGGCTCCGAAAGTGAAGGCCTACTTCGGCAACGTGGAAGAGCTCATGGATGGCTTGAGACTGAGACAGCACCCCATGATGAACAAGCCTGGATTGATCGCGATGACCGCATGTGTGTGTGTGTGTGTGACAAAGGGTTTTGATGCAGGGGGCAGTGGTCCTTTCCGCATCCACTGCCCAGCAAAGACGGTGCTGATTGGATGTGATATGGATTGAGGACGCTCAATCCTCGTACCTGCAAAGATGTTTCAGGAGATGTTTTGTCAGTGAAGTGGCGAGGGGCCAAGCCAAAAAACCCAGCAAGGTGAGTTGTAAGTATGAGTCTACTCCAGGCTCCGGGCTTTTCAGGGGTGACCGTGTGGACGGGACACCGAAGCCTCGGCCAGGCCCGCGAGGCCACAAGACGGAGAGTGACCCCGGGGACGACCTCAACGGCACGATCGCGAACGACCGGAAGAAGGGCACGATCCACGGCTACGTCGGCGCGAGAGCAACCACAGCAAGGGGGAGGACAGAAAGCACAGGGGAGCCAGCGTACCAACCACCACCGCCACCACTCCCAGAGTACGCACTCTACTTGGGATACCCCAGGGGACGTCGTGCATCCAAGTCGATGGGGTCAACCTTTTTTCCCGACGAGTTGTGGGCAAGTCCGTTGCACGCCCCGCCAACAGGAGGGGCGCACGCACCCCAAACACAGCCCAGCACGGTGGGGGCCGGGGGCCTGACAGCAGCACAGACCCCCATTGAGCACACCGGAGCGACGGCAACGCACGGACAGCACACGCAGCCGGTAGCAGGCGGAGGGGGAACGTTGCCAACTGCAGGGGCCCATGAGGCGCACCCTCCCTGGGCATTCGGCCAGCCACCGCCAACAACACAGCAGAGCGGGACCGGGACAGCCACGGTGTGCAGCCGCAGCCATACGGCCAGCAGCAGCCGACACACGTGGCACCACAAAGACAAGTGCCAAGCGGGGCAGCCAATGGGCACTGCACGAAGCCCGGTACCCAGCACCGTACGTGGCTGAGTACGACCCTGGCATGCATCCAGCGAGGAAGAGACAGCAGCAGGGGGAGAGCAGCAAGCTCGACCCAAGCAGCACACAGGCCCACCTACCCCAGGCGCACCAGCAAGCAGGCGGGGGGCCACACCAACAACCACCGGCGGCACAACCAGCAATGGGACAGCACCGCCGTGTCAGCAGGTGGGGGCACACTGGGGGCAGCCACTGCACCCGCCGCAAGCACAACCACCACAGCAGCCCCCAGCACAATACCAGGCATACGCAGGACCCCCACCTATGCACCCCCATGCCTCCAATACGCGGCCGCAGCATTTAGCAAGGAAGCCGAAGCTGACCCGGCAGCGAGGAATGGACATGCACGGAGGGGGCCACAACCACCAGCACCGACGGTGGAGGACGCAGATGCAGCTAGTGGGGGCCATCGCTTGGTGGCTGGAGTCATGGACCGCAACAGAGGCAACTCCTCGAAATCCTGGAACTAGTCCAAGCTGGACCCACTGGGCAGAGGACGCGGCGGAGGAGGCGGAGGCGCTGCTGCACACGGTCCACAGTATGAGGGGCGACCTCGGAACCTGCTGGACGAGGCAGTGAAAGGGGTTGCAGTCCTTGTGGGGGAATACCCATTCCGAGGCGGGGCTGGCATACCGGGGAAGCGAACACAACCGGCGGATGTTATGGGGCAGGGGAGGCTGACACCCTTCCTGGTAGGGGAAGTCTGTGGACAGTGCGACAGTGCAGCACTAGAGGAAGAGGTGGGAGCTGGTATAATATCGGCCAGTACATCGATACACGACCAGCCGCAAGCACGCCTGATAGACCGACGCCTGAGTGGGGAGAGCGCGCGAACCCTAGCTCCCTTGACCAAGATGATTAGGCCGCTGTGTCCGATAAGCTAGAGTGGCAGGTGAACTCTAAGGTGCAGCCGCATGTCAGTCCGGGGGGTGGGGGGAGTGTCATGTCACCCTCCCGTGAACAGGACGCTTGTGGTTTGGGGGGCCGGCAGTGACCCAGCAAGTGTCCTGTAGAGCGCAGCCAGGCTTCAGGGGCAAAGGCAGTGTTGCGCGAGGTTCTGTTCGGGATCAGGTGGGGAGGCAGGTGAGGTGGGGTTAGGCAACACAGAATGCCGCTGCGTGGGGGTACAGAACCGGCAGCTAGAGCCCAGGAGAGTGGAGCCCGCCTGGGAGGCGAAAGAAGGGACGAGTGACACTAACTAAGGTACGGGTTCGTGTTAAGAAGATGGCTGTTGTTTCTGCAAACCTCCCCGCAAAATGCCGCTTTCGCGTCGCTGTTTCTGGAGGGATCTCGGAAGACCCACCTGGTGCTTGCTGGTATGCTATGGTCATGGTCTTAGCAGGGGTGTGTTGGGGGGAGGGGCACAAGCACAGGTGGGGGAACTCACCCCGCAAGCCTGTCAGACCTTGGACTTGTTGCGAGCCGTGGAGGGGTTGGCCTTCGGGCCGGGGTGCGTGCACCCATACCCCTTCGCAAGCAAGCAAGCTAGCAAGCAAGAGAGAGAGAGAGAGAGAGAGAGAGAGAGAGAGAGAGAGAGAGAGAGAGAGAGAGAGAGACAGACAGACAGACAGACAGACAGACAGACAGACAGACAGACAGACAGACAGACAGACAGACAGACAGACAGACAGACAGACAGACAGACAGACAGACAGACAGACAGACAGACAGACAGAGAGACAGAGAGACAGAGAGAGAGAGAGAGAGAGAGCTTCCTAGTCCGGGCGCCCCTCCTAATTTCGCAGTGCCCTCCGCTGCTGCTTTGGCCGGTCGCAATGCCCTTGCCCGTGAGATTGGTGGATTCGTTGCGAGTTCGCTTTGCTAGCTGGTGAAAAGGGGTACTTCTGGTCGCAATAGGTTGCGGTTGCAAAGTAGGCTGGACGTCGCTTTAATAAGCGACCTTGCTGGCACTCCGTACCCCGAGGTTCAAGTTTTCCACCACCTCGGCGAGGCTACTTTCATCGGATATGCCACCCAGTCGGATGCTCGAGGTCCGCTAAAGAAACTGCCCCTCCGGGCGACGAGGAGGAGGAAGGAGATTGTTGATGCGCCGCGCCGACTGGGCACTCCCAAGCCAAGGCAGTGTTGGGGATGTCCAAGAGACTTTCTATGGGCAGTTGAGAACACTGCTGTTTCTGGCTTGAAGTGAGTCGCCAATGTTCACATGGCTATGACATGAAGCATGCGCAGCGGTTGATCAACCGTTGCGTGATTGGCGCTGACGGCAAGACTGCACAACCGTGGGTGGAATCGAGATTATGCATGGTGGAGCATTCTGCATGTTTGGCGAGTTGATTGATGCACAGGTGCTTGTGAATGGAAAAGTCCCCAAGGCTGGATCACAATGGTTCACTGGAATGTAACTCGGAAAGAACACTGACGCTGCTAAATGCGGCACATCGTCGAGTGGAGTCGACTGCACTTGTCATGCCGGGGGATCTGGGAGTGAAAGGCCCAGTGAAGGCTCCTCCAGGATAGGCTGAAGGGAATGTTGAGTTTGAAGACATGGCCCCTGTCGCCTTCGGGACACGTCCCTAGGGCTGTCTGCACTTTGCTTCGCGGGGTGTGTTCATGGAGCCCAGGCTTGTGGAACGGACGTGCAGCTTGAACAGGCCGAGGATGCGCTTGAGCGACAGGACACTCATGCATTCTACAAGGTTGTCAAACGGCTTGCGCCCCGCCAGCCGCGGGAGCGGGTTCAACTGCGTGATGAGGCGGGGATGGTGCTCTCAGTGGATGAGGAGCACCAAGCCATGACGAAGCATTGGACACAGGTCTTTGATCATCGCAGCATTTCACCTCGTGAGTGGTGGCTCTCCGAGTCACTGGACATCAGCTGGGATGAGGTCTGTAGAGCTGTGAAGAAGCTTTCAGCACGCAAGGCTGTTGCACCAGACTGTGCTCCAGGTGTTGCTTGGAAATTTGCACCAGATGAAGTGGTGGCTGCACTCCAAGAATACATGCAACATGTATGGTCTGAGGGTGCACTGGACATTGATCCCAGGTTTACGAGTGCTTGGCTCCACTTCCTTCCGAAGCCAGGCCGCACCTGTCGCAAACCTGGCGATTTGCGGCCTATGGCACTGCAACCCCCGGCAGGCAAAATACTGCATCATGTGCTAAGAGCCCGACTGCAGCCGCTGGTCGACACCTTGGCGCAGCAATGGCCCCAATACGCATACCTGAAGAACAGGGGTGGCTGAGGCCATCACCAGGGTAGTCACACATTGTGACAAGATCCGCGCCTGCCTCAAGGACCAACAGCGTACATTGCACACTAAACATGCAGGAATTCAGACGCGTCCCTTCACGGGGGGAGCCCAATTATCGATTGACATGTCGCAGGCCTTCAATTTGATCCCAAGACTTGAGATGTGGAATGCTATGCAATGGGCGGGGATCCCTGACTCCCTGACCACAGTGATTATGCACTTGCATGAGAACAGCAGTTATCAACTTGGCCAGAGACATGATCCCCAGCTCCGATCGCACATTCAGGTCACGAGGGGAGTGAAACAGGGCGATGTCATTGCCCCGGCACTTTGGGTGATCTACTCCTGCTATGTCTGTCATCGGGTTGATGCTGTCCTAGGTGACTCGTGGTGTGCCAAGCATGCCACCATGTTTGCTGATGATCATCATTTCAGCTGGGAGCTCGAGTCCTTCGCAGCCGGTGGTGTGATCAAGTCCAGACGCTGTTTGACCTGTTTGCCGCGCTCGGTCTATGCATCAATCCTGACAAGTCCCATCTCGTGATCGCTGTCAAAGGCTTGGAGGCGGACCGCTGGTTACGCAAGCGTCGACATCGGGAACAGGATGGTGAAGGACGCTGCTTGCGGTTCAACATTTTCACTCAGGCGAGTCTACCGCTGCACAAGCAATTTCCCTATCTTGGAGTCATCGTGTCCTATGACAAGTATGAGGATCAAACCTTGAAACATCGTCTTGCGCAGGCCAATCTACACAGGAACAGGCTAGCGCGCATTCTGCAAGGGCGAGGGGGTTTAACTAGGGACC